TAAAACAATAGGAGAATTGTCACCATTTTGTGCTATTTTTGTCTGGAGCTGTGGGAAGAGAAGCAAGCTGTGACTACCCAGCATGTTCTACCCTCGTGCTGCAGCTACTGCACAGACTCCTCAGGTGCTGCTGGGGAAGGACATCCCAGTGCTGGTGATAAACCTTGAGTGCTTGATGGCAACAAGGAGAAATGGAAAGAGCAGAGTTAACAAAGGTCTTAGACCTGACTCACCACCACGTGAGCTAAACAGCAGTGTTAAAAACATGTGCCCTGAGCCCCATCCCAGCTGCAAAATCACCTGGCCTTGTTCAGAAACCACAATGGTTTTGATAGCACGTCTGCATACACCAAGTTAGCCACACGTTCTTCCAGACTTCTGCTGAGCTGAGACTGTTGCTGGTTTCTGTTCAGCCCTGAGCTGGTGGCTGCAGGACCCCCAGATGACAGCATCTGCCCTGGATGATGGGCAGCAACCAGCCCCTGGGAGAGTCTGGAGTTGTTGCCCCCCAGTGACTGCAGGGGGGACCCAAAACACTCACGTTTCTACCAAAGACACCAAGACAGTGGGGTGGCTCCTAACCTGCTGGCACATATGCCACCATCCCAAGGCTCAGGCAAGCTGGGACCAGTGCACCACTCCTGTGGGCACAACAGCTCCATTAGCCCAGGAAGCTGCTCAGGATTAAATGAGGCTGCAGAGAAAGCTCCTCAGGAAATGCAGCCACTCAAGCATAAGAAAGCAAGTCCTGCTATCTACAAATAACGGGCTGAAAAACAGGAAATGGAGGTCAGGAGAAGACAGCCAGTTCTCATATGGCAGCATGATAGCAGTGACCTTCCACCAGGGTCTGGCTCTGTGCAGTGACCTCAGCTGCTCAGTCCTTCATAAACGGCCTGGAAAAGGGGTGAGGAGGGAGGGAGAGAGCTGGCCACTGATAAGGAGCTGTCTGAGGACGAGGACAGGCTGTGAGAACTGCAGACAGTGAGGGGTAAAAGGGCAGAATGAATTCAACACATACAACTGCAAAACTAGATATTTTGAGGGGGAAAAAAGGGTCCTGGACTCACATGGGCTCTGCACAGACCACTGCTGGTCCAGAGCCGGATTCTGTGTTTAGTGTCCACCAAACCACGAGCTCAGCCCTTGGCAGCAGTGAAGAAAGCAGGTCAAGCACTAAGAACTTGCAGAAAGTGAACAAAGATCTCAGAGCCTGGCAGGGAAAGAATTACAAACCCTGCCCTCCCTCCTCCCAAAACAACTGGCCACATCTGGAGATGGATGCTGGGCTGGATGTGAAACCAGTCTAACCCACACAACATGGCCTTCTCCATCAGCCATGCTGTCACCTCAGTGCCCATCCAGGGTGGGAGGTCTGTGCACCACACAGCATGATGGACACAGCCTTTCTCTTTCCACACCCAGTAAATGAGAAGGCATGCAAACAATATGAAAAGGAGGCCTCTACGCCTTTCCACAAAGATAGCTCTGTCCCAATCAATAACTGACTTTTTTTTCCCAGCCTTTAACAATGGGATATAAAATGTCAATACCCTAAGCAAACACCAGAATACCAGCCTTGGGAAGGTCCATCACATTCCTTGTTTGCCAGCCAAAAGTTGGCCTAAAAAGCAGGTTGCAATAGGTTTATTGCTTTTCGGTTGTCAATACCAATCTACATTATTTACAGTAGAAGTCACCTGGCCATGGAGCTATGCCAGGGGGCACCCTCTCTCTCCTGCCATCTTTAGTCATACTTTCACAATACAGATCTTGTTGCAGGGCTACTGCAAGCAGCTGGACAGAGTTTGCCAAGTGTTTTCTTGCTACAGCTTGAAATAATTCCTGGGGACGTGTTATATCCTGAAAGCTGAGACAGCCCCAGACCAAAGCAGCCAGTGAGCCCGCTGCACTCTTTCAGGAACTGGTTTGTGTGTCACAAGCAGGCAATTTGCACCAAAACACTCAAGACTCTGCTCACATGGGCTTGAAACAAGTAGTGCTTGTCGTGAGAGGAAAGGGGTTTTTGCTTTCATCTTAGATGGTAACTTTGCTTCTCCCAAAATCAGAAACTGACACCGCAGGGTTTGGTAGCACAGTGTGCCAAGATGTCAGCAGACTCTACTGCCCAGGGACAGTAAGGAATGGGTCAGCTGGGAGAGCTGGTAGGGAACACACAAGGAGGGTGCAAGGGACTGGCATGGAGCCATAGTGGGACAAGCTTTGGGGACCACTGGGGACATGCAGGGGGTTTGGTGAGATGTGGGAAGGGTGTGGGAAGCATGCGTGGCACACAGAGACACTTAAGAAGGTGCAAAGGGACAAGGGGATGCAGGGGAGATGTATGTGGGGCACAGGGGATCATGGCAAGACATGTAGGCAAACATGGAAGGGCAGGTGTGGAAAGACAGCAGGACACGTGGAGAAGTAGTGAGACACATGGGAGAGCATGTGGAAACATGGGGGAGACATAGGGATTTGGGGTCCAGGCACAGCATGACACAGGTGGCAGCAGGAATGGGGGTCACAGAGTGGGGACACACTAGGCATTGAGGGGACCCGCTAGGCTTCTCTAGACAAGTGTTCTCAGCTCCCATGGGGCCCCCCTTGTGTTCCAGTGCCACAGCCTGTGGTGGGCAAGGGGACCCGGGGAGATGTGCACACTTCAAGGGCCAGAGAAATGAGCACCAGCGGCCCCTTCTGCACCAGCCCTCCATGGAAAAGAGAGAACTGTGTGACAGAATTATACCCAACACACAGAGGTAACACAAATATATGTATGTATTTGTGTATACGTACTTACAATTAATTAATATAGACATGAAATAAGAAAGCAATGATGGCCAAACCGTGGATCTGGAAGGCAAGCGTGAAGCAGAGTGAAACCCCCACGCACCAGGGAGGAAAGGTAGCCCAGCCCTGATAAGGAGAAGCTGAGGTGGTGTGGGGGTGGTGGGGGGCATTAGGGGGCTCTCTGAGGGTCACTCAAGTATGCTTCCCTGGGGCCTGGAGAAGGCAGGGCTTCTTTTTCCCAGACTTCCTCTTCAAAAGGGAGGAAAACCTCCTGCCTGTTCATTGCAAAGTGTATCTCTGACCCAGTGAAACCAGTAGAGGAAGTGTCAAGCCACACCCTGCAAGAAAAACAAACCCGTGTGAATGTGTGCGTCTGTCTCTATACACAGATGGCTCAGGAGAAGGGAGGCTTTGTGGCCCAAGGGATCCAAAATCTCCCCTGTGGCTGTGGCAGCTGTGCCCAGGCTCAGCTCTGGCCCTGCTCCTTGGGCTGAGAGCCCATCCAGCCACAAAGGCCCACCAGCTCACCGGCACTTGGGCTGCCAATAGCCAAAACCTGGCTTATGGAGGAGAGCTTTTAATTCCAGCCTTGTGTGCCTCGACTCAAAACTAATTTACTGTTCTTCCTTGGTCTAAACCCATCAAGAAAAGGAGATAGGTGGAAAGTGCACGGATGTGCTCCTTTCCCTTCCCTGCATCCCAGTGGTGAAGTTTTTTCCCAGGAAGGCAGGAAGGAGATTTTCTGGTGTCCCAAGGGGGTGGAGGGAGACCCACAGCCAGAATTTTTGTGTGGCCAGGCAGAATGACCCACTGCACCATGGTAAATGGGACTCTTCCTCAGATATGTCTGGCCACAATCCAGCTTTACTGTTGAATTGTCCTCACATCTCTGAAGACAAATTTTAAAAGAAGTATGTTACAGCTCTTGGCATTTTTCAGTCCTTATGAAAAATTTGTTGATTTGCTTTTCTTACAAAAAAATGCAACTCAAAATCAGCTATTACAAGCTAATTTAACCCACAGCATTCCTGCAGCCTGGTACCTTTCTGATAACACGGCGTGAGGGTTTGGGTGGATTTGTTTTTCTCATGTTTACTTTAAATCAAGTCAGTCTGTTTTTCTCTTTCGCTTCTGCTGCTCGTTGATGTGTGAGGCAGCATTTTAGCTCAAAGTGGCCACGACTAACAGCAGGAGCTACCACTCACAGCATAAACAGCGTGGGATTCTCCTTTGCTGCCCCTGTGTCTCCTCTGCTCACAGCCCCTCGCAGCCCCAGGTCTCACCCCTTGGGGTTAAGGTGATGTTCCTGCTGAGTTGCCTTGTGCTGGTTAGTGGGACTTTACATTTCCTGCACCAAGATTGTGTTTGAAGCTCAATTTCCGTGCTTGGCATCAGCCAGACACGTTGCCCTCAGTGGGAGAGGGATCAGTGTGGGTGACACCCCTCAGGTTGATCGCTCTCAACCTCCTTCCCTGCTCTGCCTTGGGGACGGGGTGGCTTTGGCAGCTGCCAGCAGGGACCTGCCGCAGGACCTGCATCCGTGGGATGGGTACCCAGGGCGGGGGGACAGGAAACAGAGGCCCTTGGAAGGCTGAAATTGAAAGGCAAGGAAAAGGAAGAAAGGGAAGCCAAAGTAGAAATTCAGATACTCTCTGGAGCTGGGGAAAGGAGTCAGTCTGTTACTCTGCCTTTACTCTGTCACTGTTAAGCTCTACTGACTGGATGAGTCCAATTAGTAATTATCAGTATATGCCAGCTGTTATTTCAGAACTGGCAACATCTGCATTTAGAGAACATCTGTTTTTTCTGTGAAGCGGCAAGTGCTATAGTTAACATATTGGTATTTAATGTTTTTTGGTTTGGTTTTTTTCTTTTAAATCTTCAACCTGTTCTGTAGTGCCATGCTAGCAGTACACATGAAAACGAAACTCAGCAGTTCAAAATTACTATAAATTAATGAACTTCTCCTTTCCACATTTGTCCCCAGCCTCAGAGCCCTGCCTTATGCCTCTTCATCGTACTCACTCAAAATAAACCAAATAGAAAATAAACCAAATAGAAGTTGCAACATCTTAGCATATTTCACATAAGGCTATTCCTGGCACATGCTGAAAAGCATCTATTTTAATGGGACTTGGGGGGGTGGGGGGGTGGATAAACTATTTAGCCAGTTTTTGGGAGGAGGTGCCTGTATCAATAGCAACTGAAGCTTCTCTCTACAAGAGAAAAAGAAGAAGAAACCTTCTGAGAGAGAGATGCTATTGAGCTGTTGAGGCTTTCAAATCTCAGGGCATGTTCTATTTTATTTATAGCTTTATTTTTCAATTACTATATTGTGTTTTTTTCAGTTGGGCTTCTTATCCTTTCTTCGAAGCAATGTGACCACATAGTAAACTGTTTTTGAGGAGTGTTTGCTGTTTGAGGTTACAAGATGAAACCACAGAGTTCCTTATCTTGTCTTTCTGCATCTGTTTTCACATGAGCTAGCAGAGCAAAAGAGCAAAGAAGTAACAACCGAAAACTCCTTTTTCTCCTCTCCCCACCCATGTTTTTGAAGCCACAGGAGAAGTCCCTGTAGGATCCAGCTGCTGGCTCTCTCTGGCTTTTTTTTGTCTCCAGACCAGGTAGGAACATACTTCCAAAGGGTGGGCAGTGAGGGAAAGCAGGAAAATGGAAAGTAGTCACCAGTCTGACATGGTTCCCCCTGAAACTTGTGTTTGTGCCTTAGGAAGCAGCTCTGGAAATAGCAATAAAGTTTGATTTGCTACCTTTCCTCCCCAAACTTTCAGCGTTCAGTATTTAATGGCTACTAAGTCTTGACAGAAAACATGTCTGGACATGAAAGCTGGTGGGAGTTTGCTCGGTACTTGGGATCCTGGGCAGCAGTGCAGGGGGTTTGTTGGGCTGTTCTCCTGAGGGTTCTTATCTGGTGTTGGGAGGGCAGCGAATGTCACTGCTGCCATCTGCAATAGCTTTAATCATTCTCAAGGGAAGACTTTTGGGTTGAACTCTGGTGACAAAATCTGCTCCTATATTTATAGTTTTAGGTTATAAGCTCGTTAGAGACTTCTAATAGGGATGAACTGGGCCACCTTTTCAGGCAGGGATGTGGGATACAGGGGACTGGAACATCTGGTCCCTGCGCTGTGCTGTGCTCTGCTGGTACCTAGAGACCTTTCCAACCCACTCAAGCTTCCACAAACCTTGAATTGCTTTCAAAGGCATGTTTTACATGTTCCAGTGATCACGCTGGATGTATCTCGACATGTTTATACACAAGTGTGCTGGTACAAATCACTGTGTAAGGCTATCTCATTGCAAGGGCTCAGCAAAGTCTGGCCAAGCTGGGATTGGTGCTTAAGAACAGCCATACCTGGACTGCTGTGGCTTTTTGACCTTGTGACCTTTCACTAAGAGGGAAATTATTTAAGAAAACATTATGAACAGCTTCTTAGATGTATGTCTTAAGTTATCATTATTTCCAAACTATTGCTCCATGTCACAACGAGGTGCCCAGCCATTTCAAGGATCCTTGGGCAGACAGCACAAAGCTGCCTCTTGTGCTCTCTTCCCGCATTATCACCACACTGAACCAGCCCTGTAGGAAAACAAAGTCTGCCACGGAGCACCTGGAGCACCTGGGATGCCAAGGAGGAGGAGGAGGCAGTGGAGGAGGCAGTGGAGAAAGCAGAGCACAGGAGCTCAAGCATGTTCTGGTGGAGACCAAGTCAACAGCTCACATCTGACTAGGTAGCCTCCTCTCCCTAAGCTCATGCCTGGATTTCAGAGACAACACAATTTTTCTAGCATGAAATTACCTCCTCAATCAACAGATTGATTTCTGAGCAAAAATATTTGTAGTATCAGACTCTGAGGGACATTCATTTTTTGTGCACAGCCTCCATCAAATCACATGGAAATTTTGCCTGAGAAACAGAATTAGTGTCATTATCTAGAGACCCAACTTGAAAAGACAGCACTAATAATGACATAGGTTTAGTGCAGTCTCTCGGAAACTCCAACTTTAATAAGGTGGCCAGGGGAGCTGTGTTTAGGCAAACATTTCCTGCTGGCAGAAGCCATTTCACAATCACTTGCCAAGATCTATGTAAGTCCAGGAAGCTTCATCCCAGTGGGTGATTTCTCACTGCTCAGCCCTTATCCCAAAGTCTAACCTGAACCCTGCTCCTCCTTCAGCTTCAGGCCATTGCTACTAACCTGCCACCTTCAAGAGCAGAGCAACAGCTTGCTTTTGTTTCTGTTGGTATATGCCACTGAAAGCTCTTTCCATCCTCTTCCTGCTCACTTCTTCCCAGGCTGAACCCTAAGTGACCCCAGAGGTTATATGCACAGGCCTGTATCTTTTATGTATTAGCATGGTTCTTATAGGCCTTTTCTAAATACCAAAGGTGAAAAGCACACACTGCATCTCAGGTTGGCTGCTACAGATTAATGAACCTCGTGGCTTTTACCCATAAACCCTTTTTCATAGAATGTTAGTGTGGTTGGGGTTGGAAGGGGCTTTTAAAGATCACCTCCTTCTAAACTCCCTGCCGTAGGCAGGGACACCTTTCACTAGATCAGGCTGCTCAGAGCTCCATCCAGCCTGGCCTTGAACACTTTCAGGGATGGGGCATCCACAGTTTCTCTGAGCAACCTGTGTCAGTGCCTCACCACCCTCAAAGAAGATAATTTCTTCCTAATACCTAAAATAAACCCACCCTCTTTCAGTTTGAAGCCTCCGCCCTTTGTCCTATCACTACCTTTCCTTGTGAAACATTCCTCTCCAACTTTCTCGTATCTTTCTTTTCCTGTGGGACCAGAAATCAATTCTCTTTCCAGTGCTTCTTTCCACATCACCATAGCATGTCATCTAACATCCTCTTCACTGGTAACTGCTCCCCATCCCATTCCATTCCATCCCATCCCCCCGGAGCTGGGCTCACAGCCCCAGGGTCCCATCCAAGCAGGGGTTTGTCACGCCCAGCCCCAAATGTGAGGGCAACTCAGGTTCTTGTTAACAGATCCCTTGGGGTGGATTAGAGTGAAAGGACATTGGATGATCAGTGTTTGTAAAGATATGTATATACGTAGGGTTTATTTTAGAACAATTTGGTTGCAAAGGAAAGCAGGCATGTAGCCGTTTTGCTTACTGTTATCTACAGCAATATGTCAACATGAAAACATAAAAATATCACTCAAAAATGTGCAAGGGAAAAGAAACAGAAAGAAACGGTAAGAGTAGAAACATATCATCACCCATGGATCTCACGGCAAGACTTGATTGTTGCCATTTAGTGTCCCTGGGTCAAAGTGATGATCACAGTCTTGATCTGTTCAGGGTGGGAAAAAAAGCCCGTCAAACACCAAGTCCGAAGGGTTCAAATACATTCGGACTCCAAGCACCTCACCTGGGCGTGAGTTTTCAGTCCTCGGGTGGAAAGCCTCAGAAATGGGTCTGGGGGCACTTTGGGGGTCTTTGATGGTTTGTGACACCTTCTGAGACATGACAGCTGCCTCTCACATCAGCGCAGTTGAGCCAGGAATGCCCCATCAGGAGGGATGAAAACCCTCAGGACCTTTCCCAGGAGAAGGTGTGGGGGGAGTTTTACAGCTGATTTATGTCAGGGAGGGCAGCTGGCATGATGAAAAGCACCATTCCACCTCACAGGATCAGCCTCTTATCGGCCTCAAAGCCCGTTTGTAGCCCACGGTGGTGATTGTTCAGCCCCTCTGGCTAATGCAGCCCGGAGGTTTGCCATCGCACACCCAAAAACTCACCTCCTCCCCCTCTGGGGGTGCAAAGCACCCTGCCGCCTCCACAAATGGGCCATTGTTTTGAGTCATTAACCATTAACATTTCAGTCTCTCGCAGGGCTGGCTGATTGCAGGACCTGATGCCTTCTCACCAGGCATGAGTGGTAACCTTCCCCCGTGGACACTGTTGACACACCACGTCACACCTGAAAGGCATCTTCTTCATAAGTACTTCATCTCCTACACTGAGTGGCTTCTCGCTTTCCCTTTTTTTTTTTTTTTTTTTTTAAGTGTGTTCCCCTGGTTCACCTGTTGCATGAAGGGAGGGATGACAGGCCTTGCAGGAGGCAGACCGAGCAGCCAGTGCTCGCTCTTCTCCCTGGCTGGCTGGGGACACAGCTGACACAGTTGCTTTTGCCAGTCCCAGGGGACATTTCCCCATCTAGCCCCATCCACATCTCTGCTGTGCCTCTCCAAGGGCACCAAAAATCCGGTGCCGGTCACAGGCCCACAAGCAGAGGTGAGCTCAGTGCTCTGGCCTTACCAGAGGTAGAAAGCATCCCTCCGTGTGCCCTCTTTGCCTTGACCCATTTCACTCCCTTTCTCTGCTTTACTTCCTGTGACAAATTTGCTGTGCCGGGTCTGTGGAAAGCAGCTGGAAGAGTTTCATGCCGGCACTGTTTTTCTCCTTTATACCGCACAGCAGGCTTGGATCCATTCAAATCTCCCTTTCTTTGCTTTATTTTTTTTCATCTTTTCAGTGCAGCTTCCTACAATTTCAGCTTTTTGGCTGACTCAAGGCTTGAAATCTGTCTTTCCTCTACCCTGAGTTTCCTCCTGCAGTAACCCTTCATGTGCCATGGCCTTGCTTTCCACAGGCATGTGGAGGTCTGATATGAATACCAGAGTGGAAAGCTGCTGACACCCGACAGAGCCACATATAAGGACTGCCACGGTGAAGAGTTTTCAGGACACTCTGCGAGCTGGGCTGGCTCCGTCCTGCAGACAGGTACGGCAGGTAGATGCCCAGCATCTTAGCACTCAGGAGGACTGCAGGCTCAGGCAGGCCCTCAGGGACAGGCAGGAAACAGAGCCATTCCAAAACCCCACTGCCACATCTCCTGACGACACAGCTGTGCCTCGGGCTTGGACACTCCCAGTTCTGATGGCACATTTCTGGCCACCTCATGTCTTCTGAGGGCTTGCCACAGCCTGATGCAGGAAGGCCAGCAGTCAGCTGCTCTTCCATTTGGCAGATGCCTGTGCAGCTGGGAGCCTGTGGTGGACACCAGTGGGATGTCCCAGCACCAGCCAGCCATGCTGCTGGCAGCTGCAAGCTCAGCTGTCGCTCTACGGTTGGACTAGATGAGCTTTACCAACCCAAATGATCCTACAATGCAGTGAAGGTTTCACATTATTGGGTAACAGTTAAAGCAGGGCAGGATGAGTTATCAGAGGGGAATAGGAACCCTCACTGGGCTTATACCAACCTACCTAACTGCAAGGACCTGCAACAGAAAAGGACATTTGTCCTTTGGACATTTGCTTTGTCCTGATTTAAACCATGTTAGTAAGCCAGCCTGAAGCTGGTCTAACCTCCCTCTGCTCTCACCGGGAAGCATTTTGTGTGTCTATTTATTTCTGGATGCTATAATATGATTCTGTTTGATGCTGGACTAATAATAATAATAATAATAATAATAATAATAATGGCTATTGTTATATGTTTACACATAGAGTGTGACACTGGCACCCTGTTCCCAAATAGCTGGAGTCAGACATGGAGCTCAGCACACTGTTTCCTGGAACAGATCCCCAAGTACCACAGATAACTGTCTCAAGTTAATGCTCCAGATTGGGCAGCTCTTTAGGGTTTTATTTTTAAGAAATGTATTTGCCAAGCATAGGCATATTTGCTGATCTGGAATTTTCCTTGGACATTAAACGAGCCAATGGCAACAACGCAGGAGTCATCCTTGTCATATGGGTCAACCACATCTCTCTTTTTAAACAAGTCAGGCATTTCCAGCCTCACAGCCCTGCCAGCTCCATGCACACATCCCAGCAGCGAGTGCAGGGCAGACTCAATGCCTGGCAAACCCAGCCTGGTCAAAAGCAAATGACAAAGGAAAATACCCTTACCAAAAAAAGGTTATTTTCTCTTAAGAAATGCTCTTTCCTGCTTTTTATCTCTGGTTTAAGGTTTTTTCATATGATTTCATGGCATTTCATCAGTCCTGCATATTATATGGGAAAACCTTATTTTTTTTTATTCTGTTTCATTTAAAAACTATTAAAACCATCTGCCACTTAGTAAACACTAACATACTTTCTTTTCTAGATCAAAGTGTCTCCTGTCTGTGTTGTAATGGAAGTTTGACGTTATTTTTTTTACAAGACAGGCAGGAGACACTTTGATCAGGTGCCAAACTGTTTCACTACAACAAACAGGCAACACTCTGAGCTAGAAATGATAAGATGTTATTATGCGCCGTGATGATTTCATGACATGTCAGCCATGATGTTAAAAAACCCTACACAACATATAACTTTAAAAATATCACTGTGAAATTCCAGATTTTTTTTTAAATGAACAACCTATGAATTGAAAGCATTCCTATTATATTTTTCGCCTACAGATTTATGACCTTTTTGTAGCATAATTGGCCACTTTTTTGATTTATTTTAATTTGATCACTATCTCCTGTCAAAAACATTTAATTGAAAAAATTCTGGTGGATTCAACTTAAAAAGCATTTTTAAAAAGCCTATTTATAGACGGAATATTATTGTCCCTGTCAGAGAACAAAGAAATCACCTGCTAGCTCTTTTGTCATTTCTAAATAAGTTAATTGCTTCAGGGTTATTTCATCCATATTTCTCAAATGCACTGCTCCGACCAGCCCCCCATACATGTTTGCCTTTTGTCCTGGGATGCAGGATATGAGAGCCCATGGCTTTCCAATAACATAAATACTGCAGCTACACAGTGTGGAAAAAACAAACAAGCAAACAAAACCATGCACATTGTAATTTCTATCTTAATTTGCATTCTGAAGAGAAGATGAGCTCTTCCATAGTCACCTATGCCAAGCACATGGACACCGCAGACAGGCTGGGTGTGAGTGTGCAGCCCCTGACCACGGGAGCTGCAGGTGGAGCAGGTAAAGTCAACCAGCCTCTCATCCTCTCCCTAAAGGTTTTCAAAGCAGGTTTTCTCCTGCTTTGTCAGCAGCAGTTATTCCAGCTTTCCATGTGGACAGTCACAGCTGAGGAAGGGTTGGTTATCTCTGATGGACACGGCAGCTGGAGGAGGTGTCTGCAACCCGGGATAACTGGTAGCAGAAGCAAAGCAGCATGCACAATGTCTTGCCAGTGGGAAAAGACGGGCACTCCTCCTCATCTGCAATTTGCAAATTATTTTACCCCAAATGAGGTGAGAAACTTCATGGGCCAAGACAAAAGTTGCATCAAAGAAAAGTCTGATTGGGTATTAGGAAAAAAAAAACCAAAAAACATTGAAAGAGGTTTCCCAGAAGGGGTGAATTTTTTGTCCTTGGAGGTTTCCAAACTCAGGTGGATACATCCTGAGTGATCTGCCCTCATGCTGAGATTAGCCCTGCTCTGAGTGAGAAGTTGGAGCACATGACCTCCCCAGGTCCCTTAAAGGTTCAGTCATTCTACATCTATGCTGTTTTGTCCTTGCAATCATGTGATGAATCCCAGGCCAGTAGATAACAAGTCTCAGGTTTTCCCAAGCGTGATCTTGTATCCTCACCCACAGCAGCAATGGCATCTGCTGTGCTGGTGATCCCAGTCATCAACTCCCATTCCAGGCACGTGCCATCGGAGGCACAGCACCCAACCCTGCTAGGAAAAAGTCTTTGGCTTCTCAAATAACTGCATTTCAAGCATGCATTTGAACCAGTCTGGGGTTGAAGGACTCGTATCACACCATCCAGGGTCAGGCAGAGACCCAAGGCAGCACCAGTCCAGGGACACCGCGAGTTGTTTGTCCAACACAACCACATTCTGGTGCGGCATCAGCACACGGAGCATGTCTGAGCACAGCCCAGGCTGCTGCACACCGGGGTTCTGTGTCAGTATGTGCAGCACAAACAGCACCAAGCACAGATCACTTCATGTTTGGTTCTGCTTTCATTCCCTGATACTTTGGGTCAGCAGGTGTCACAGCCTGGAAAATGACTTTCCAGCATCAGTGGAACAGAGGCTGCTCAAGAAACAGTTAAGCCTTAGATCAGCCTCTCATCTTTTAAAAGCAAGTTGTTCAAAACCAAAAGCAATAGGATTGTGTACATTTGTCATTTTAACCCAGCAGTAAGTATTGTAATGTGCAATAAATCATTATTCACAGAATATGCTGATTTGGAAGGGACCTCCAGGGATCATTGAGTCCAACTCCTGGCCCTGCACAGCACCATCCCTGACAGAACCCAGGACATCCCTCTGGGTGCTCTGGATGGCTCAAAATCCTGGCAGGGGCTCGGAGACCCTGGAAGCCAAAGACACTTGGCAATTCTATCTCAACCCATGGAGCAAATTACCAACTTTATATGAAGAATTGCAAGTCACAAAAGTTTAAGTAGCATAATAGTAGTAGTTATAGGGTGAAAAGAAAAATTTTGGGGGTTTTACTATAGGGGTCTAGGAGGCAAGATGGAGGGGTTTGGGCATTGTCCTGTTCTTCCTTCTTCTTCCTAGCCTCCATCTTCTTGGTGATGGTGGCACTGTGGGATTGGTGTAAAGTAGAAAGTCACTGTCTAACATAGGTGATAGGTATGGAACATAACTGTAAGTATCGAATACGTAGGTTATAGTATAAAAGACAATGCTGGCCCTGTGGGAGGGCAGTGTGTCTCGGACTGACCTGCTGAACAGAGCTGAACAGACCTCGGCAGGCCAGACAGAAAACGTTTTAGATAATAAATAATAAACAACCTTGAGAACATGAGCCAAAGACTTCTGACTCCTTCTTCAACAGCTGGGTTGGGGAAAAGAGACTTTAAATACATCTCAGGGTCATCTTGACCAGAGGAGATCCTGAGACATCCCCAAGAACCACACCATGTGCCTGACAGCATTGTCCAAATGCTTCTTGGTCTCTTTCAGGCTGGTGATGTGACCACTTCCCTGCGGAGCTGTTCCAGTGCCCAACCATCCTCTGGGTGAAGAACCTTTTCCTGATATCCAACCTGAACCTCCCCTGACACAGCTCCAGGCTATTCCCTCAGATCCTGTCACCGGTCACCACAGAGCACAGATCAGTGCCTGCCCCTGCTCTTCCCCTCACAAGGAACTTGAAGACTGCAAGGTCTCATCCCCTCAGTCTCCTACACGAAGAACAGACCAAGAGATTTCAGCCGCTCTCATATGGCTTCCCCTCCAGGCCCTTAAATCCAGGGCCTGGGAGGCTAGAGGTTTGGGTTGGGCATTGCCAACCAACCAGAAGCAATGCTATTATTCTATGATTCCAGTTTTTCAAACAACTCTCCTGTCCTTTGCTGTGCTCCTGATGAAGTTCTGATGCAGTAGACTGGAGATGGGACCATTACTGCCACTGGTTATTTTTGCTGGAAATGGCTGTTGCTGTTTTTCATTCTCATTAACTTAGCCAGCAGTTTCTGGGAAACAGAAAAGTCAGTACTCTCTGCTGACCCTTCAAAACACAACCTAAGCTTTAGGAAACCTGTTGTTGGAGAGTTCTGGATCCACAGACCTGCTCCCACTGTTGGGGCCACTGAGAAAGCACCGCTGGCTGTAGGGTGGCCGTGCCCCTGGGCACTGAAGGGCATTAGCCCTGGTGCCTGGGCACAGTCTGCAAGAGCCCCAGGGAAGCAAGCTTCTGCAAAGCAGCTGGTGCCAAACACTGCCCAGGCTTGCAGAGCTATAATACAATAATAAAATCCCTCCAGATTCTTTTGGGGTGAGTGAATGAAGACCGCTGCCTCTGAACTAAATGCTACTTTTAAGAGGCTCAGTGGAGCTGGAGCATTCTATAACCCCAGTCTGAACACTGAAATCCTCACCCATCTGCACAGCTGAAAGAGAGCAGCCCCTTGCCTTCCCCATTTTTGTAAACAAGGCTGCAACCTTTATTCCTGCCTTGAGGAACAGATTGAATTGCTTTTGATGATGCAGAACAATGTCATCCTTTATTCCCTCTTCAAAAGCAATTAGTATTTCAGCTTGATTATTTGCAGATAATATGAGTCACCAGATAAAACACACTGAATACAAAATGCTCCTTGGGAGGGAAAGAGATAAATGGTATTTAAGGTTAAAAATTCAGCATATGCTTAAATATCACAAAACTGTCACACATCAAGGAAAAAAATTCAGTCCTACTTCATGAAACAGAAAGATTGGCCCTGTGTTTGTTCAACCCCAAACCCTTAATTAATTTGTTGCAGGATCAGGGCACCATGACACCAAAGGCAGATTGTGTCACTGTCACAGCACAAGAACAAATTTGGTTCAACACGATTTCAGAGTTGTCAAACTATCCAAAATTTCAGGTGAAATATGTAATTTAATCTTAAAAAACAATTTCGGAATATTTTTTTTCTGTTATTTCTTTTCTGATTTCTAGCTTGGTGTATTGCAGCTCGTTGATATTTTCAGCTCTTTTACCCAGAAACCCAAGGCTAGAAGCTGACTCATTCTTAATAGAAGGTACAAATCTCACAGGAGCAGCGTAATTTCAGGAACTCACATTTTAATGGGAACATCAAATCTATCTGGCATTATGATAAGGTCATCAGAAATTAGCAATACTGAAGGTTTCTCCTGGGTTTGCTTCTAACATAGATGATAGCTGATAAATCCTTTCTCCGTACTGATGTTGCCAAGTAGCTTCATTGGCAAACTTTGAAGTATATATAGAAATGGAGTTTTGTGAAAATTTAGACCAAAAATAAAGTTTGCTTTTCTCTTTTTCTGAAAAGAAAATTAATGTCTGAGAGTTTTCATATGCAACATCTCAAAAGGGTGTATGTGTTTTCATTTCAACCTTTCCCTAGATTAGAAATGAAATTCCCTAGATTCCATGGCTGGAACAGCCATGAACTGCCAGGCTTTGCTGGAAGGATTCTTCCTTCCCCCTGGGATGTACATCACTGCATGCAAAACTGCTGTGGCCTTCTACAGAGTGTTTCACATTTATTTACATTAGATTTTAAGCATTGATACAAGAATTTTTTCCTCTCTAAATTACTAACAACTGATACCTGTACTTTCCCATCCCCAGAAGGAAAATTTTTTAAATAAAGGGGTGCTTGCCACTGAAGCAGTATGGTGAAATGTAAAACGAATTGTGGTACAAGTTAATTTTACCTCCAGATTGCCTATGAATAGCCATGCTGAGACAAAATTAGAAAATCCATGGAAAGTGGAAGTGTTTTCCTCCGGGCTATAGGGTGCAGAGGGGCAGCCCTCTCCTTGCCCTACATGCCTCACCAGGGACATAGCCCCCACAAGGAGCTCCTCGAGGGAAGGGTGGGTGGGCAGTGGCCAGCTGAAAGCTCCTGTATCACCTGTCTTACAGGCCTTCCACCTCCTGGTCCCGCAGGCTCAGTATGCATGGCCTGGGGGGTCTAGGCACACGCATGTGCTCTGCCAAAACCCAGATTGTCCAGGAGCAAGTTAAAACACTGCAGGCTTTGAGGATGCTCCAGTAGAAAAGCAGCCCCAAACCTCCTCACTGTCAACTCTTTAAAACAGAAAGGGACCCCTGCTAGACTAATTCCTTCCCCTGTAAGATTTCACTTGATTTATTACAAGCAAATTAAGAGCAGCAATATTGTGAAAGGCAGATGGAGAAAGCCCACGGCTGCAGGCTTCTCAGCAAGGCTTTGCTAAGCCCTGTACTCAGGGGCACAGACAGGTACAGTGCTCCAACCCATCTGCTACACTCAGCTGCGTTATTCTGATCCCCATTCGGTTTTCTCCCATCCCAGGTAAGTATTTGGTTTTCCCCTCTGTCAACTGGGGGCCACTTCTTCCTGAAGACAGAGCAGCTTGCAGTGAGCTGCAAACCAAATCCACTCTTCAGATCTGGGGTTTTCATCAACTATATCTTCTGGCTTCTTTCACTTGTGATTTTGCAAGTCTTTATAATCAGTTCTTACAAATGCTTTAAGCAAGACCACTGAAGCACTTTGCAACATCCTTCGGGAGCATTTATAAACAAGGTTGTGGTTCATGTCAGGGACCAGCCTAACATCACTTAGAGACAAACATTTACCTCTAGGGTCATGGAAATATTTCCAAATAACTGTTCCTTACAGGGGTTCAGTGCTGTGGCCTGTCCAGATGTTTGGTGCTCACCTCAGTCACCTCATAGGGTCAGTGCAAGCAGGAATGGTGGCCCTGGAGTAGCTGGCACCAGGGAAAATGCCACTTACAGCACCAGAGACTGAATTAAGTCAGCAAAAAAGCCCAGCTTCTTTTAGTATGGACATTCCTATAAATTCATCATGCTTTCATGTCTATGCAAAAGATGCAATAAGTTACCCCTGGAGCACCTTTGGAACTCCTTAACATCTTACCTCCCGTGGCAGAAAGATTCTACTCTGCAAAGTAGAGAAGTAACCACTTTCAGTACATTATAAAGCAGGTTTCACAGCTCCTCAGTGGTGCCAAGTTTCCAGCTTCTCTCGGGCTATGCAAGGAAGAGAAAATGAGCTCCCACAGGCCGCCTGTGAGGAATGGATCCTCATTTCAAGCACCTGTAAGCGGGGTGGCAGGGCAGGAGGGGGATGAAGCGCAAAGCAGGGCAGGCTGCAGCCCCAGGTGAGCCCACGGAGGGCACTCTGTTCTGGCAGCGGCCGGTTTCACAGAGATCATGAGTTTAAGCACAGATCTAATTGAATTGCAGATGTCTTTTCTGATGGCTATCTGCTAGCAAAGCTTCAATTAAAGCAGGAGCAAAGGCAGAACGGGGAGGTTCTCGGTAATAAAACTAATGGAAGGAAGAGTGGCCATTTACAGCAGCCTCCACAGAGAGCATAATGCAGGTAGTTTCTTTTAGCAAGATTTTTTTTTGTTTTTGGGGTATGGAGTGAGAGATCTGAAACCTCAACATAAATACCCAGCTTCCAAATCCTAGAGATACTGAGTGTATGGTGGACTGGAAAGCAGCTAACAGTAATTTAAATAATACACAAATAAACTCATCTCCATTGCTTCCAGTACTCCCTGATGAACAACTTCATCTGCTTTCCATTCTGAAGGCCATTGAGGTTTGTTCTTGACTTTGGTTTTAAAGGCTGAAAGGTTTTATTCACTCCCCTTTTGTTGCTTCCAAGATTAAGGTGGATTTGCCCTGAGCTTGCACTTGCCAGATCAGAACCTCTCATCATTTTACAGTGCCTTTAGAGCTCCAAAGAGGGAGAACTTTAACAGAGCTCTCAGTGCACCCAAACTACAAGACTGTAAATTGGAGCATTATGACTTTTCTTTTTTTTTTTTTTTTTTTTTTTTTTTGCCTGTAGCTACTTTCTCATGGTGGCTTGAGCTGCATCCCGTGTGTACCACATACACATCACTGAAAAGCCACCCCCACCCAACGCAGCTGAAGAATCAAAATTAAGCTTCAAGATGGCCTGAGAACCTGGTTTAGCTCAGGAATAAGGTTTTTGAGAACTGTTTTCCCTTTCCTCAGCCGATTGTTACGCTGTACCCAAATTCCTGTTGTGCAACAGTTTGGAGGCCTCTTGGCCATGTCCTACCCAAACCCTCTTGCTTCTTGGCGCAGCACAACTCTCCTGGGGGCATCTCAATGGACAATCACCCCCTGGGATTCAGTTTCAAGGAAAATAATCAGAGTTTGGCTCATTTTCTCTTTTGAACTGCTGCCCTTTTCCGATGTATTTACAATGTAAGGAAGTCAGTTTATTCATGGTTTGGCTTTTAACTTTGTTGTTGAGCTTGGCTTTGCTCCTGTTGGAAATTGGACCCCAGTTGAGGAGGGCAGTTGCCAGTGTCTGCTGGAAGCTCCTTGCCTGGGATTCTCAAGCAGGCCGTTTGTTGACCTAGCTCAGCACATACTAAATAAATGCAGTCAGAAGAGTCTGCTTACTCATCGCAGGAAAAGGACTGGCCCAGTGGCAGGAGTTTTTCAGAATATCCCCAAACATTTCAAATGCCTAAGTTCACTCCAGACTTCTCAGGAGGTCCCTCCAGCAACCATTCTCGGTTTAATTTCAAACATCTGAAGTAAACACTGAACAGCAAAGGTTGGAATTGGTTGATTTCCTTGAATTTCTAACTTATTTTAGGTTTACTCCAGCAGAAAATTCACCAGGAAGTTAAAAAACATAATCCTAAAGAGAGAGGAGAAAAGTGACAAATAATGCATCATCTGTAAGATGTGACCTGTTACTAACATGCTCAGGATGCTTATCGGGAGGTTTTTCAAATGGCACGTATTAAATAAACAAGTATGCCTTCAGCCAGCAAGCTGCTATTTCTCCCTGCAAGGAATAAACAATACTTAAAATTTGTATTCTTTGTATTGAGATTTGTAGCTACAAAAAATCATGGGTGGTAATTCCCAAATAGCCTTATGGAGTTCTTTCTGCAGCTGAACCACAGGCAGCTGCCTCCCAGGCATTGATTTATGCCGTAAGAATTAGGGAGAGGCATCTCTAAGGCACTGCATTTACTCCCCTCTGCTGAGAGGTTTTGTCTGGGTGCTCTCTGGACAGTTTCCAGGCATGCGATTGAAGAGTATTTCTCTTTCCTTCCACAACAGTCACTTGCTCACTCCCCCTGACCGGGATGGGGGAGAGATTTGGAGAAGTGAGAAGGCTTATGGGTTGATATCAAGACTGTTTAACAGGCAAAGCAAAAGCCATGCACACAAGCAAAGCCCAACAGGAAACCCATTCATCACCTCCCATGGGCAGGCAGGTGTTCAGCCATCCCCACGAAAGCAGGGCTCACATGTAATGGTGACTTGGGAAGACAAACCCCATAATTCCAAACATTCCTTCTTCTTCCCCCAGCTTTATATGCTGAACATGATGCCATATGGTCTGGGATATCCCTTTGGGGTCAGCTGTCCCAGCTGTGTCCCCTCCCAGCGCTCTCACTGGTGGGGTGAGAGGCAGAAAGGGCCCTGACTGCATCAGCCCTGCTCAGCTGTAACAAACACATCCCTGTGTTACCAACACTCTTCTCTGCACAAAACCAAACTGTAGCCCCACACTAGCTCCTATGATGAATCCTAGCTCTATCCCAGCCCAAACCAGCATATTCTCCGTTCCTGATTCCATACCATTTGCATCGTGCTCAAGTTCCACACTATCCAGTACATCCTCATTACCCACCACCACTGTCACCATCCTTTGATATAATCAAACACAGGTTCACCCGTGTGAAATGTCTGTCAAGCATCCACAAACATCCACAAACTGTCCTTTTAGTTCATTTAGTCCATGACTTTGGTCAGGACAGGAGATGTGGTGTGCTGTGTGGAGTTACTGGACACCAAAGGCAGGTCATGTCAGGTCACTGCTGCACTTGCACTGCTTCCTGTAAGGCTTGTCCTCCACTGGTTTGGGTAATTCCTGCTGCAGTAATTCCTACAACACGCAAGCCAAATTCCACATTACAACAATTTCAAGATGTTTCCATTACAATCTCCACCTCTGGTTCATTTGGAGCAGACCATGGGGTATAAAATTGCAGTTAACTCTTCTGCTTGCCCTGCTCTGGCTTGGACTTTTCCACGGTCCTGTAGGAGTGTGCCTGCTCCAAGTGAAGCCTTATCTACTAACCACAGACTCTTCAGGGGTCTACCTGCTGTGGCATGGACTTACCCACAGCCACAGTTGCTTTGAGGTAGACCAGTTTTAGCATGGTCTTTTCCATGGGCCACAATGCCTTCAGAGATGTTCCTGCTCCAGCATGGCCTCACCCACAGGCAGTCCCTTGGAAAGTAAACCTGCTCCAGTATGGCTTTACCTATGACTGTAGCTCCTCCAGGGCTGTATTTGCTCTCTCCTGGGCTTATCCACAGCCACACACTTTGGGGTAGTCTTGCATGACCTCAAGCACAGCCACCGATGTTTCAAGGTGTGCCTTCTCCAGCAACCATTCTCATGGACTTACCCTTGGGCCACAATTCCTTCGGAGGTCCAGCTGCTGTGGCACAGACATGACCATGGCCACAGATGCTGTGAGATGTACCTGCTCTGGCATGGCTTATCCAGGGCCACAGATGCCTCAGGGTGTCCAGCTCCCACATGGACTCACCCACAGATCACAGGCCCTTCCACTCAAGTTCACGCTGGAGTTCCAGCCTGCCCAGCAGTGCAGCACAGCAGCAGCAGCAGCTCTGGCTATCTGCCAGCCCGACACATTGCCATGGCTGTTATCGAAATGTTCCCAGGCACCGCACAGTAAGGTGATAAGCAGCACAGCAGTGCAGTGAGCAGCCACTAATGAGCACTAGACTCAGGCAAGCAAGCCCTGTGACAAACAGGAGCCTGTCAATTAATAGCAAAACAGCAATAATAGTGATAGAATTGATCCAGCACATTCCAGTCACATCTGGTGGTACTTCGAGCCCCACAGCAGGCAGCAGAAAGGACTGTTGTGGTTTAACCTGGCAGCTGCTAAGTGCCACAACAGCCACTTGCTCTTATTTCTCTTTCCTTCCACAACAGTCACTTCCTTACTCGCCCACAGTGGGATAGGGGAGAGAATCAGAAAAGTGAGAAAACTCGTGTGTTAAGATAAAGGCAGTTTAACAGAGAGGCAACAGGGAATCCATTCACCACTCCCCATGGGCAGGCAGGTGTTCAGCCATCTCCAGGAAAGCAGGGTTCCACCACATGTAACAGTGATTTGGGAAGACAAACACCATCATTCTGAACTTCCTCCCCTTCTTCCCCCAGCTCTATACACTGCACACAACACCATATATTATAGGACACCCCCATGGTCAGTTGGGGTCAGCTGTCCAGGCTGTGTCCCCTCCCAGCGCCTTGTGCACCCCCAGCCCTCTCTCTGGTGGGGTGGGAGGCAGAAGAGGCCGTGACTCAGTGTCAGCCCTGCCCAGCTGTAACAAACACATCCCCGAGTTATCTGTTTTGGTCACAAATCCAACCCATGACCCCGTAGCCAGATACTCTGAGGAAAAGTAGCTCTACCCCAGCTACAGCCAGCACTTTCAAGTGTTTATGGAGATCCCAGAATCTGAACCACCTAGACTTGCCTCAGAATTATTTGCCAAAAAAGTTTTGGATTAAAAAAAAAAAAGCCATAAGAAGAAAAAAGACCAGCAACCTGGTTTCGGTGATAATTTGCTTTGATCAGTTTATGATATTGCTGTAAAAAATAAAGCCACTGTGCAGCTAATTGACAGCAAGAAATTAAATGACAACCAGCTTGGATACAGCCTGAAGAGTTACTGAAGCAGAAAATAAAAAGCTTGACATAAAAAAGATAAGTTACATTTCATATGACTCTCAATGTGGGTGAAAACATGAGCATCTCAGAGTCTGTAAAAAGAAGAATTTTGATGGAAAAAGACAACACTCTTGACCACTGATAACATTTGATTTAAAGTTCTCTGAAAAATTATTTGTTCTAGAACAAAAGGAAAAATCAAAACAATTCATTCCAGAAGTATTACAACATAACTGACAAACATCTACTCTTTGTCTGGGTTTCAAGCACAATTTTAGTCAATTTGAACCCGTTTCATGAAGAGACTGCAGCTTTGACAGAGCTATTGCTAAAATCATCTTGGCAACAAAATATTGCTTGGCCTCATGTTAGTAATTAATAAACAGCTCCAAGAACCAGCTCCAGTTTAGAACTACTCAGTACATAAATAATCAGATTTGCCAGCATTGATTTGCCACTGTTTAGTACAGTGTACTAAAATTAAGGTATTACCTAACCAAAATCCTGAAGGCTTCCAAATCATTTATTAAAAATAACAGTTCCTTGAATTTAGAATACGATGATGCTGTTCTTCAAATAAATAAACCCAGAGGTCCATTTCATTAAAAAAAAATTTTAAAAAATTGCACATTTTGATAGCTGAAGCGAGTGAAAAAGCTGATCTGTGTAAGAGTATAAAAAAGTCAATTTTCACAATGCTACAGCCTGGAAGCACTGAAGAGACAGTCAGAATATAAAGGCAACTGCAGACAATTAAGCCCTTTAAAAAGCACCAAAATTAGCATTCCTTTTGTCGGATCCAAATAATTCAAATGTTGTTCTGCCACAAAGGCCATCAACAAATTCTAATTTTAGCTTAATCCATTAGAAAGAAAAACCCTGCATTTCTCAGTGGTGTTTCCTCATTAAGAGCACTCCCAAACTGTACACTGAAATCTCAAGAACACAAGCTATGAATTCAAGTTCACACTCCCATGAAGACACACAAGCACTTTAATATGGCAATCCCAATAAAGGCAATTCAACTAC